GCCTGCAAGGCAGGTTCTTATGCTGCTGAGCTAAATCCCCAGCCCCAAAGAGGTCTTTCTTACCTCAGTGGGATAAATTGATATCTCCAGAACTAATTTGTGACTTTGGGCAGCTCATTTCACCTTCAGGACCTCTTCTGTCCTCACCCCTAAAAAAAGGTTGTACTCTTAAAAGTACCCTTCCAGCTAGAACATTCCATGATTCTATCAGTTTGTGAACTCAGTACCCTCCATCCAGGAATCCAGTATCAACAAATCAGACTGTTACCTAAGACCAAGACTCAATGCTCCTGGTACTAGAAAATTAGCCAGATGAACAAACATTTTCTTCTCCTTGAAATTTAGTTCTCCTATCTAATTAATTTTAAGAAGCCTAGGTATTAAGAAGCCTAGCTATTATAGTGCTGCAACCACGATCTTACATAGCCCTCAAACAGTGCACCATATGGCAGTGTCAGGGATACCTTAAATGTACATTCTATTTAGATAAGTCATTCCATAAATATTCATTGATCACCCGAAATTCCTAGACATTCCTTAAGTACTTTGATGTTGCTAACTTCCAATGTAAAATTCTTCATAATCCTTTATCCATTATCTCTTACTATTTATAGAGAAACATACCTACAATGCTTATGACAAGAGTTTTCTTTCTGAATTAAGTTCATTGCCTGCGTCCTCTCACTAAAATACAAATTCTAAAAGGACAGAAACATGAGTCCCTCGTTGCTGTATTCCTAGAACTTAGAATAGTGTCAAAAACATGGCTTAGTAAATATATCTTGAATGAATAAATAAGTATTGTCTCACACTTTAGTCCCTGGTGAGAACTGAGATGTCTTAATTTTATACTTAAAATTGAAGCTGAGAGAAGCTAAGAATTTCTTCAAAATTATCCAGCTAGTAAAGGATAGAGCCAGCATCCATACCCAGGTGGGTGTGACTTCTAAATAGTTCATCTTTCTGCATTCAGCTGTTTGTCCTACCATTTGCACATTTTTTGAACCTTAACAATATTCATCTCTGTTGTGACATACTTGTGAAACACTCTTCGATTTTGTACTGCGTTTCCAGGAAAACATGAGCACTTTGTTTCTGGTCCATCCCACTTCATGATTGGGGAGCTCAGTGATAGCAGAAGATGGGGTGGGGAAAACAGAGGAGGAAGGTGTAGAAGGTAAGAAGCGTTGTCAAGAAATTCTCCCAAGGAATCATTTTTTAATGTGTGTATAAGTAAATATTTGCAGAACTCTTTGAAAAAGTCTTCCCTCCCCAAGAGAATCTTTATGAGACTTTAAAACCTGTTCCCCTCTGACTCGCTCCCTTTTTTTGTCTTGGTAAGCCATTGCTCATGCTAAGGTTATACAAACGCCACCACCAAGCCAGTGGAAATGCTTGACTCAGTTCTCTGGTTTGCTTTGGTGTGATCTGTTTCTGGTAAGTGAAGGCTTTTTTTTTTTTCTTTTTTTCTCTTAGTCTGTTATGTGCCTACTTACATAGCAGTCATCTATTTCAAGGATTTGAAAAAAGTCTTTCAGAAGAGGCTAGCGGCCTGTGTGGGTGAAATCTCGGAAGTGTCCTCTGCACATCTATATTGTGGGATGGGGCTGGACTTAGAAGTGATTTCGAAAGCTCTTCCTTCTGACTCTTGTGCACACTATAATTTGACATGAAACAAACTGATGTCACCTTGGCCTGAGGTAGCTAGAGAATGAGATATTCCGTAAGAGAAAAAGTGTAAATAACTATAATTTATCCTTGGCTTTGCAACTTTTGTTTAGCATCAGGAAAATTGATTCGACTTTGATTTAAAAATACTCAGCTTTTTGGGGGAGGAAAATATTCAAAATATATTCATTTTGACGTAAACTCTTAAACGGAAGCTCTGAGGCCTTTCTGCCTTCAACATACTGAGAAAAGTCCATGTTGTTTAGTGAACTTCTGTGGGCTGTTTGTTAGTTATTTGTTTTGTACTAAGTGACCTCAGACTACTTGGTTTCTTGAGTTTACTTGGGTTTTAGAAATCATTTTTCTGGCATCTGTCTTGCTAGGAACTGTTAGTGTTTGTTTCTGGGTCTTCCCAGGAGCCTTGTGAGACTCAGTGTCACCTGCTATGTTCCTCTTCTTTACCCCACCTCTGATTTTTATTTACTATTTTTGTTCTTACCATGAGCTGGTCAACAAGTAACAAAGTCTATAAAAGTTAAATTTAAATTAATAGAGAGATTGTGAGAGTTTTCAGTAAATTACTACATAGTATTTTTACGTGATAAGAAAACTAATTCTAGCCATTGTGCTTGAAAATCAGTCCTATTTATATATAGACTTCTTATCCTGGACTTTATAGTTATGAATTCTCATTTACTTCCTTGTTCCTAGCAGGATGTAGATGGCTCTGATCATTTCTTACCATGTCTCATTTCTCTACAGATCAAAAAATGAAAATTTTTGTATGAATTTTTTCCTTTCCAAGTCTTTCTGTATACATTTTATTTTACTTAGAATAATTTATATGTAAATTATTAATACTTTGAGGTGACATAGTATATCTTCAAATTATGCAAAATATGTCATATAATCTCATTTATTTAAATAACAGAAAATTCTGTGTAAATTAGTGCAAACCAACATGTAGAGCTGGTGTAAAACCTGATGGTTTATTCCCCTAGGTCTCTGAGACAACAGTGCTAAAATTTTGATACGTGCCTACCGCATTTTTTTTCCTTTATTCAATGTTATTACTATGTTGGATAACATCTGTTTACGTAGAAGGTATGGTCAGAACTTGAAACTTGTGTGAATGGCTAAATAAGAATAATTTATAGTGAGCACATAATTATAGAATATATATGTCTTCTAAGATTTTATACAACTGAGAATCTTTGTCTTCTTCCTCTTTTTCTATCTTTTCTACTCTTTGCTGATCGAATCCCTGTTTATGAATAAGCTCTATTGGCCCATTGGGATGGGAGATTTTAAAACAAAATTGCTCTTTCCCATCAAATGAATTGATCAGCGTCCTGCCTCCTAAGTACGTCAGTCTACGGCTTCATGTGTCTCCTCACCCTTTCAGTCCTCAACAGGAAGAAGACAGCAGAAGGTAATGGGAGAAAAGACCAGAAAACTATCTAGAGCATGCTACATCTGTTACTCTCCAGTGAGAGAATTAGAGAGCAATCTAAGGATCTTGCTCCTTTTCCCAAATTAAAAAAAAAAAAAAATGACAATGTGATGGTGACTTAAGTTGCCTTACTCCCCTTCTGTACCCCTGGGGACCTTTAAAGATAGAAAAGATTTCAGGATTGGGTGATAGTGTGGATTCCTTTCCTAAATGCCACAATTCCTCATTCCTCAGCCACAGCTCAGAACAACTTGTGACACACATTAAGGACATGTTTCCCCCGAAAATCACCTCCATATGAGGAATCCTGGCATATGTGTTTCACTGGGTGTTCTCAGGCAATGTCGGGGTTCATTTTCCATGTTTTCTCTCAGGGCCATTAAGCACATCTTTTCAGGATAATTCCAGTTAAGATGATATGCTTAGAAAAATACATATTTACCCAGCACAGGGCATTGTTACTATTCTCTTTCAGCAGAATGAAAATGAAAATAATGAATTAATAAGGATCCTAAAACATATGGCTCGCTTAAGCCTGTGTTGACTTCTACAGGTTAACGAATCTGAAGTCTCGCTTGTTGGTTCCTACATCTCTGTGTTACATGCCTATATCATGCCTTGCATGGGAAGCACAAAAAGAACCTGAAATTTTTCCTACACTTTCTTATAGCTGCAACACAAATGTGGAAGCTCTGCCTTGTTAGATATTCTGGCTCGGAACATTTGAAATTAATTTATAAACTTGTCTGGCTCATCTTCTCTTTTTATTGTCTAGGGCTATATACAAAAGTCAAGCCAAGTGGGTTTATTTGTTTCTGTGAAATAAGTGATATAAACAGTTTCTGACCTCTATGTGTTAGTTAATCCAGCTTAATAGTGTTTTGGAGAGAAGGGACTAAACAGTTCACTGCTAGTATAATTTTCCCCAAAATTATTTTGCTGTTTTATTTCACTGCATCAACAAACTTTCTACGCTTTCCCTTAATACTCTGTGCCAGTCCATTATTAACTTGGCAAATTGCGCATGATTTTGATTCTCTATGGACATCGCCCAGCTTTTACATTATTCTCACAAGTACATTTTCCCTTCACTGGTGGAAAGAATACGCTGTCCCTTTAAGCCAGTAAGTCAGATCCTGCTGTTTCTCCCTTACAATCAGGAGATCAGTATGCAATCATCTGTTTATTATCCCAGGTTAGATGGCAGTTCTGACAGCCCCCCAACAGAAACCATAGTCTTGTGAGTGGCACATTATCCTGCAAAAATGTCTGACATTGTGTTCTTGCTCTACCCGCTCAGGAATGTTGTCTGCCAAGCACAGAACCTATGCAAGTCCTCTTGGGTTCTGGGTTTCAAACCACACTTGACTTTTGAGGTCTAAGTTAATTTATTATTGGCAAAAGAAAGCGTATTGTTTAAAAGGAATAGGATTAGAAAAGGTCATAATAAGGACTTGTAACACTTCTTGGAGCTCAGATACGTCTTACAAAATAAAATGTTTATGAGCTAAGTGTAAATGATTCAGAGACATACGGATCAAATTTCCCCTAAAATGCTAACGGATTTCAAAATTAGCAGAAATGGGGCCTGGCAAAATATGTGCTTTGAATTTCACCAAGCCCAGAGTATTTGAAATGCAGCTCAAGGAACTTGACAAACCCTAGGTTTTCCTTTGTTATTGTCTTTTATTCCCTTAATATCTCAATTAAGAACTTTGCAGTTAAAAGAAAGAGTAAAGGGTCCTGAAAGAGTTTCAAAGGCCTTCTTGTTACACTCATGTGGAGCCAGAATGGGGAGTTCCAATTGATTATGGAACATCTGTCTTCACCCCTGCTATTTTATGCCCCTTGCATTGCCTTTTATTATTTTTTTTTTCAGGTTTGCTCCTTCTGCTCCATCTCCTCACCACATCAGCCCCCGGAGAGTTCCAGCTCCTTCCTCAATACTGCAGAGAACACAACCTCCTCATACCCAGCAGCCGTCAGGACCACACCTGAAGTCCTATCAGCCAGAGACAAACTCTTCTTTTCAACCAAATGGTATCCACGTCCATGGTGAGCAGAGAACTGGCAACTCCTTGGGTTTCAAAAAGTGGAACTGTTGAGTTAATCAAGTGTCTTCATTATGACCAGATAGTTCAGATGTTTTGTTAGATATCCCACATAATCTTTTAGAATTTTCATTTAAATGTTCACACTTTATAAACGTGTTATCCTAGAGTATTTTCCTGCTTTTGGTCTAACATGGCATGATTTAAACATCAAACCTGGTTGCCTCCAGGTGGTGATTGGGTCATGGACCTGGTGCTCTAATACCTTGAGGATGGGCCCTATAACAGTGTCACCTCGTTTCTAAACAATCGACAGCCCATCTGAAAGGGGCCACTGGAGTTCTTGTGTCCACGTGCACCTGCCATGCTAAATCTTTGTTCCCATTCTCATAAGCCAGATCCTGTCATCCTTCAAGGATGAGAGGAAATGATACCTGCTCCCTGAAGCTGCCCTGGGTCCCCAGCTGACATCATCTCTTCTTGCTCTGAACTCTGTTTGCATCTCAACCTGTATCTCTCTGCTACACTTTTGCTGTGTGCCTTGTCATTTACTTAACTGTGAGTAAATGTGTCTTCCCTATTAGTGGGTTCATTCCTTTCTGAGGTCAAAATTGTCTTATGAAATTTAACAGTTCTTCATATACTGTAGCAAAGACAGATTCTTGTTAGGTACAAAAAGGACAAAAAGGAGATTATGAGAAGTCATGATAGTTTTTAAAATATGTCCATCTTGTTTTTAATAAGCAACATTCATGGAGAACCAAGTCTGCCTTGGTTTCTTTTCTTTATTTAAACCTATTTTACCAATTCAGGTACATATCCTACCAGACTTTCACAGGAAGTTGAAATGCCAAATCTTACAGACTCAAACTATGAGAGCCTTTGTCTTCCTGGGGTCGTCAGACCTTCTATGCAAGCAGAAGGGCTACCATCTATTTAGAATGAGCATTTCAACTCTTCCTGAAAAATGTGACTCCTCCGTCTGCCTCTTGCCAATTTCTGACTTTTTTTCTATGAGTTATTATTTGAAATTAATGGATGGTGTTCTAGTCTCATCTAAAGTATGGACAGCTATTTTGAAGAGAGCAAGAGACATTATGGCAGCCATTTTTAATTTTCTTTTTGTCTGCTTTTGAAGGCCTGTTTTGCCTTCATTACTCTGTTCTGATCAGTTTTATACTATTTTGTTTTGTATGAATTTGTTGTATGTGAAGATATAAACAATTGTTTAGAAGAAAACAGACATTATGGTAGCCACTGTAGATTTATTGTCTTGCTTTGAAATCTGTGTCACTTAAACATTGTTTTCTTCTGATCTGCTTTGTTCTGTTTTGTTATGTTTAGTTTTACCCTTTAAAAAAAACACAAAAAAATTAAATGTTGATGACTGCCCAAGATGGAAGAATTGAGCAATATAGAGAGCTAGATTTGGGAAAGAGCCTGAAAGCAGAGGCCTGAGCGGCAAAGAGGAGGCAATGTAGAGACAGTGGCCACCTGTAGGAAATTTGAGAAAACACTGGAAAACCAGGGAAGACCACTGGCTCTGGCTCAAGGTTTCATCCATCTCCCCTACTCCTCACTTACCTGTTCTGCCTATACAACCCCCCACACTGCAATAAAACTTAAGACTTCTGTCATTCTTCAAACCTATTTATCATTTTCTGTTTACATATTTATTCTTAAGCTTTGGATATATTCTGCTCAACCGAAGTCTTCAGTGCCTGATGTGCACAAGACAAGGTATGTGCGAGGAAGATAAGTAGAGCCCTCTTCCTTCTGCAGCCAAGCCCCCAGCAAACTCGGGCAGCGTGTCTGGTGAGACGGAGACTCAAGGTCCCCAGGGTGAAGCCCCTACCCACTGGGTAGGGGGGTGAACTGCACGAATACAGGATCTGAAGAGTGCACAGTAGGCCACTCACTGAGACTCACTTTTTACCTTCACTTTTTAAGGACACGTCTCATAGTCAGTGGCATCATGTAATTGGTAGGGAATTATATTTCTGGTGTTATATGGAATAATGGAGTATTTCACAGTCAGTGGTGTCATAGTGCCAATGAAATGCAGCATACTCTACTTTGATTGTAACTGCCAAGTAAATTTTAAATGTTTTAAAAATAACTTACATGTTATTTTTACATGTTGAACAATTTGGAAATATATTTGCTAAAATATTAATAGTTTTGTATCAGGGTGCGAGATAATGGGTGATTTCTTTTTCTCTATTTCTTATTCTACTTTCTAAAAAACTTTTGGAAGATTTCAGAATTAGACCAATTTAAAATAAAAAATACCAGTCAACTGTGAGCTATGGCTCTGGACAAACTGTTGAGACCCAGTTCACAGTGGGGACAGTTACATCTACCTTGTTTGAGGGTTGTTATAAAAATTTGGTAAGAGCAGCCCACCTGGCACAGAGTAGGTGCTTATTTAATTTAATTTAATTCTCTTCCTTGTACTCTTTTCCTTTTCTTTATTAGACTCTTTGAGAACAGAGATTGTTTGTATGTTGCCCCAGGCCATGAGTAATATTTGGTGCAAAAACACATTTGATAAATATTTCCCAAATAAATAATTGACACTTTCTCATTCAACAAATGAATAATGAAACAGGAGGACAGAGAAAATAGGATCTACCCTATCATATGGGCAAAATACTCTATTTTCCACCTTTCCTCTTTTTAGTTAAATAATGAATATGCTGTCAACTTGAAGTTGTTGAGACTTATTTTTAAACTTCCACTTTTTTTAATTGGTAAAAATTCCCAAGGCCAGTAAGAAACTGCTAACATCAGCCTTAAGATAGTCAGCATAGTTAGGCAAATTAGGAAATTACGACTTTCTCCAGGAAGACAGGCAAGTAGTTTTGTGGGGAGCTTATAAAGAATGTTCAGTGGGTAACAGGTAGGGAAATATGCTGCCTTATTTTCTCTACAGGCACTTTTTTGAAATATTTCTGTGGAATTTTCTAGACAGAAGCATTTCTTTAGAAAAGGGATAAGATTTACTATTTTTCAAGTAAGTGTTAGAGAGCTGGGGTTTAGGAAGATCTTGTTAATGAGTTATGTTTATTGGCTGTGTCTTTTTCTTTTTCTTTTGTTGGATGGTTTTGCTGCATGGAGTTACATGGCATCCTGGCCTCTGGCAATTCCACTCCCTAATAAAATTAAATTTTAAATCCTAAAAAGTGCTAGATTTATAGTGTGATAGCTGCAATGAGTATTTGTTCCCTGTTTCAAAACATTTCATGGCTTTAATAAGCAGCATCACCCCATCTCCTCTGTCCTCCTGCGGTAGGTAGAGGTCAGGGAAAAACATCATCACTGCATTTTGAGAGATGGGTCCTGAAACGTAAGAATATAAAATGCGTAAACATTGCTACCTGGTTGAAGTATACAGGCACCTTAAACCAGAGGGCCATGTTTCCAACCACATTCTTAATCAGGGATCTCTAGGTCAAAGGCATGCTAAAATAAATACAGACTTATACATTTTAGTAGGTAAGAGTGGATGCCTGTCTATAGATGCTGATCCATCACATAGAGCCATCGGTTAGAACGCAGAGAGCTTTGATCTTACGGTGAGAAGCAAAATGAAGTCCACTATGTTTTTGTGAATCATGATATTAAGCTAAGACATCCTGTGCTATAGGTATATTTTCATTAAGATGTATTTTCTTTAAAAATTACCTAAAAATATTATAATTTTGGGTTTTTTTTCAAGTTTCTTAACCTTTGTTTTATTGAGTCAGTATCTACTTCCATTTATATTGCTTTCATTAGTAAGATGGATTAAGTGTTCTTTCTTTTAATGTTTGAATGTTTGTAGCATTTGTGTATCTCTAACTGGGTGATACCTGTAAGGAGCTCCTTAGTACATTTTAGTCTTTTATTTTAGATGTATAACATAGGGGTACTCCTTCTAATCATGTAACTTGTTGCTTGGTCTTTTCTTCTTCATTAGAATAATTCTCTTGCTCAGGGAAGCTTCAGAATTTGACTGGATGAGTTGCTTGAGAGTTGACATTGGTACATTTTATTATGGTACCAATGGGTAATATCTTTTTAAATGCCTAATCACTCCAGGTTGTTTATGCTGCAATGCTGCAACAATTCTTGGAACAACGTTTTCATGACCTTCCTGCTTTGGAGCCCATCAAGGGGAGGCTAAGTGCAGTTCACCAAATGTTTATGGGTTACCTTTACATGCCAGGCAAACATGAAAATCATCTAATCGGTGTACTGTGGTGCATGCAATCTTAGAAAGTATAAAATGCCCTCAGTGAATTAGAGGAAGATGTCACAGAAAGGTGTGGAGGTGACACTTGAATGGAGTATTGAAGATGAGTAGTGTATGGGCAGACCGAGTGAGGAAAGGCACTCCAGGCAAAGGAGAAACAAAAGTATGGGGAGTAACATAAACAAAAGTGCACGACGCAGAGAGGAGAGCCAAAGGGAGACTGTGTGTGGTGGAAGTACATTGGGTTAAGACCTGCACTAGAGAGGGAGGATGATGGAACCAGCAAGGCCCGCTCAGAAAGGGATTCTGTGCCATGTGCCGTGTGATGCTACACCAGGAAGTCAGCCTGGTATTTTATGAAAGTCAAGTAGAGCTCTATATAAATAATGGAAAGGTAACAGCAAAAAAATTAAGCTTTCCCTGTCACGGTTACATTGGACTGCATGTATATACACCCCTAAAATGAATTCAGTGGAGTTTGGTTCACTCAGATGCAAATGGTAAATCAAAGGATGATATCAGTATAGTATGGAATTGTGTTTATAAACACAAAGGTATTTTTTGGCAAGAAAAGCTAGAATAGCAAGAGAAGTAGAAAATTTGAAAATCTTTTTTAGCCACTGCAGAGGCAGGAGCCCTTCAGCTCTGTTTTAATAAAACAGAAAGGAGCACAATGCAGGGCACCCGCTCTGGAAAGAGGTGTGCCCCAGCCCTGCGTGGTCCTCAGCTCCTGGGAGCACATGCCCTCCCTCCTTTCCATTGGGCCA